CTTTTATTCAAAAATTTGTTGATTACAAATTTCATTTCGATTTTCATGCAAGATAATGATTTTAAATGTTCATTTTCTCTTTTCATTTGATGACAACTGAAACACAAGTATCGATATAGTATAATTGAATGTGTTAATGATGATAAACTTAAATTCACCACTTTTATGATGATGATTATCATGGTTAATAATGATTATTATATATCTGAAAAAAAATTTGATGATTCCGATCATGATAAGTTATAAGAAAAAAAAAATTCGATTCGATTCGAAAAATACCTGAACATTTATGGAAACTAAACAGGAAAGATATTTTTCTTCTTTGCAAAAAAAAAACATTCAATCGATAAAACTATCGATAGTTTCGTCTATCATCATAAAATTCGAATATCCTTTTTTTTATTATAAATCAGAATATATTAATATTATTACCCTGTGAAAACAAATGAAAACAAAATCCAGAAAACAAAAGCACAAATGCTGAATTGTCAATTTTGCCATTTTTTTTTGTTTTGTTTTGGTCATCTGATCATCATGAATAATTCAACAAGATATCAACAACATGAAAAAAAATATTGCCTCTAAATCAGTATTGTTATTTTTCATTTACAAAAAAAAAATTATTTGATCCAAAAACAAAAAAAAATTTCATTTTTTCAAAAAGATATTTTTATAACAATTCTTTGTCATCATCTTTCAACCAAAAGCAATCAAATTGAAACTATTTTTCCAGGAATTTTTTTCGTCAAAAAAATTTTTTTTTTTTCATAAAAAAATCGACTACTGGATCAAACGATCCTGAAAATAAATGAAAAATAAAAATCAAGCCTATAACTGAATTCGAATGTGATGAACGAATATATACTGTATATATAAATAGACTTTTTTGATTGTTCGATGTCGATGTTGATGATCGTAAAATCTCAGTCATAAAACGCCTACATCTCCACTGATCCAATTGACATATTTTTTTTATTTTAAAAAAATAAAAATTGTATATATTGTCATCGTTATCTCTTTCTTTTTTGTCAATGTGTGTTTCCTATTGATTTTTAAAGATTTTATTTTTAATATTTTTTTTCAACTGTTTTTTTTCGCAATTGGTTTTTATTACCCTCACTCAACACAAAACCTCAAAATGGTTATTGTACGAACCCATTAATTTTCTATGTTTGATTTAGATTTTTGTTCCAAGTCGTTTTATTTCTATTGTTTCTTCATTTATGTTGTTAAAAATAAAATTTTCCATTTTCATTACACTCAAAGGATTTGTGATATTATTTCTGGGGACCCATGATGTCCACACCATCAGGTTCATCATCGATGGAATTTTTCTCATCATAATGATTCTGGTTTCTGTTGATGAGTGAAAGGAAATTTTTTTAGGAGAAAAATAAGGAAATTGAAAAAAAAACATTATCACAACAACAAATCATGGACAAATTTGGTACCGAAGAAAAAAAAATTCATTAGAAACAGAATAAAACCTATTCCAGTCGAAATAGAATTCGAATGTTTTTCTCTCCTAAAATGGTTTTTGTGTGTGTGTGTTTGATTTTTTTTTGGATCATCATCAATCATTAACGGTGAAAAAAAACTCAAATTACAAACCACATATGAATGCGATAACCGAACCCTATAGCTTGAATTAACAATTAATTTTTTTTTTTTTTTGGTTTTGTTTTATTTTTTGTCGGTTTCTCTTCATTTGTTCATTGTTTGTTGTTTTGTGGTCAAAGTTTTGATTTTCAAATCTGATCTGAAAACTTTTTTTTTATGTTTGTTGTTTGATTATTACATATTGTAGTATTTTTATTTTTCAACCATTCAATTCATTCATCATCATGATTTAGTTATTACTCGGCTATTTTTTTTCCAGTCCACATCCAAATGTTTTTAGGCTGGCTGTGTGCATTAATATATTTCTTATTAAAAATTCATTGTTATTCGATTTTGTTTTCATCTTTTTTTTATTGTTTTTGAATATTATTCATTCATAATTTGTTTGTCTATCAACTTCCATCACTATATATATTAAGTTTATTATAAAATTTTAAACAACACAAACAAACAACAAAATGTTTTCCAATGAATAAAGTACCAAAAACAACAGCTCGAATAAATTTTAAAATAAAAAAATAAACTCTATATTTGATAAAAAGCCGAAATATGAAAAAAAGAAATTTGCATGAAATACGATGCTGAATATATAAAAAAAAAATTTAAAGAAAAAATGCATCGTTGATGTTGTTGTCGAAATAGTTTCGAATGATGGTGATTTTTATTTTTTTTTTTAAACATTCTCAAGAATGAAATCAAGTCTGTGAAGTGAAATTCTTTTTTCATATTTAATCTCAAAAAGATTGAGATGTTCATAATTTAGAATCTAAATTTTAGATGAAGAAAAAAAGCAATTACCATCACGCTTTGAAGTCAATGAATGAATTTTTGTTTTTGTTTTTTTTTTTGCTTAATTTCAACTTAACTCAGATCCTTTTTCATTTTCATGGAACGTCATGATGATGACTAAATTTAATGTGATTATAATGATGTTGACGATGATGACGATGATGATGATGATGATGATAATGGAACTGTAGTTTATTTTCTTTTGCCCAGAATATAAAATTTTTTTCTATTTTGTTAGTACTAATTTCCGGCACGTCGTATCTTGCATTTATACCTTGAAAAATAAAAATGGGCTGACACGCAAGGTCTATATATTCATTTCTGACATATCGATATATCGAATCGATCCAAATCAATTAGTTTGATTGAGAAATATAACCAAAAAAAACACGAATACACACTCACAATGTATGTATGCATGCATGCATGAATGTTGAATGTGTGTTTATAATAGAAAAAAAACGTCGTGTTTATATTGAATTTATGTCAAATAAAGATAAAAAAAAATTGAAAGTTTTTTCCCAAAATAAAAAAAACCTATACAAAATAATGAATAAATTAGGATAAATAAAATCTGACTCCTTTTTTTTCACTATCTATCTATGATATCGTGATCGTTTCAAGCCACAAACGACAACTTTGTTTGATTTTTCATACACTTTTTTTTAAATGTATGTAAAAATAACTAATTTGAAGATCACCCAGATGACTCAAATATCGATGACAAGGAATGAGTCAAATAATGGTAATGACGTTTTGAAAATAGATGGCAACAAACCAGGACGGCTAATCATGACTAATAGTATGACGAGAATGACGAATGGTTACCAGCATTATGACCAACAATGAGTCGGTTGGTAATCAATGACATAGACCAATATCGATTGGAAAAAGGATATAAAACTGATGGACAGAGAAGAAGACAACAGTATTGAACATCATACGACAGCATTGATCATCATACGATTGAGTATCATCTTTATTATTACTTCTGATTTTGCTTACATTGATAATTTATTTTCTGTTTGAATTAATTTACCATCTGACCAATATTTTATCATCGTGAATAAAACTTGTGCTTAAACCTTGGGCCCAACTGATTTTATATTATATTTCGATTTTTATATTTCTACATGTATATAGAGTCTGATATATATTAGGTTGAATCTCAATCAAAATACCTGAATTGAAAAAAGAAAAAATCTTTAGAATGTTAAACTATTGATGATAAGAACGACTGAACTTTTGAATATAAATAATAAATAAGAAAAAAAATTCGAATGAATGATTCATCGAAAAAATAATCGATATAATTGCCCATTACTTTTTGGTTTTTAGTTACTATTTTAACCTACTTGACCTGTAGAATAATAATATGCTGTATATAATATATATATATTCAAAAACAAAACACTCGAATTCATCATCAGAATTTTATGTTTCAAAAATTTTTTTTTGTTGTTCAAAACATGATTTTATTATTTATGGCTTGTAACAAACACGATGAAGATTTTTAAAATGTGTACGAAATTTTCTTTCTTTTTTCTATTTTTTTTATAAAAATTTATCTTCTGACACTCAATCAACAGCAACAACAATTGTTGTTTGTATAGAAATTTTTCAATTTGACATTGTAGATACTAACTAATATATTTTTTTTCATATCTCATTTTTACCAGGCATCCATTTCGTCGTCGTTGTTCCAATAGGAACGGAAAAAAATTTATCAGATACAGTAAACATTTTTTGTGATAGTTTGGACTACACGCTGTTTTGCTATGTTTGTTTGTTTGTCGTATTTACGTGCACTGGAAGATTACCGTATTTTATTTTCTCTTTTTTCATCGACATTTTGCCCTGTATAAAACAATAACAACGACAACAACAACAAACAATCAATTTTCATTTTTTCTCAATTTTTCTGAATTTTTGATCCTAGATTCCAATTTCATTGGATGCATTCTATTTCACTCATTTTTGTTCATGATCATCATACGATTGAACCAAAAATCGATCCAAAACAAAATTAATTTCGATGAACTTAAGTTATGATGACGATGATGATGACGTCCGAACAATGCAACAATCAACAAAATTCGGACGTTGTTATTGGTCACAACAACAACGACAACAGAAACGGAAATCAAATTGTTGTTGGTGGCCTCTATATCGATCAAACATCATTGTTAAATCCCTTGCCATCATCAACAACAACGATAGCTGATACATCATCATCATCATCAGTGGCTACATCCATTTCAACAATTATTGATGGAAATGTTAGCCGCAATAGTGGCTTGGGTGGTGGTGGTGGTGGTCATAATAATGATACAGATGATATGAATATTGATGGACAATTTCGATTATTAATTGATACAAATAATGACAAACATAATCATTGTGATTATAATATTATAAATCAATCATCATTGCCAATAATGGATAATAATAGTAATAATGATCATGAAGATAATCTTCATCACCATTATGATAGTCATAATGAAGATGATGAATCAACTGAACCATTCCTAAAAAAACAAAAAATTGGACATCAACAACATTCAAAAATTATAAATCATCAAAATAACAATAATAGTAATGGTGGTGGTAAAAATCTTAAAATTGTCATTGTTAAAGCTGATGAAATGGATAATAATAGCAAGAATAGAATCAAAACACCATCGCCACCGCCAACAAAAACAACATCGATTTTGATGCCTGTTGATCAACCACCAAAATCGCTATCATCTACAACTAATACCGTTATTGTTCCAAATCATTGTACAATACAATCATCATCAAATCGTCGTAAATCAAAATTTTCTGTTATGATGGGTATTACACAATCTGGTGGTATTAATAATCATCAACAACAACAGGCAAAGAAAAAACGTTCGGAAGATTTTGGCATACCATCATCCGTTTCCTGTAGTGATATACTTGATCTTGAATTGCTCAATCGTCGTTATACGATACGTCGTAAAATACAGATATTAGGCATAATGACATTTGCAACGAATGTATTTGCATTATTATATTATATGATCATTATGTCTATTGATTCCTCATTTTTTTCACCATTATATCAAGATGATAAAAATAATGGTAATCATACAACAAACGTTAGTGATATAGTAACATCTATTCTTGTTACTATTTCTACAACAACTACTTCATCCGGTGATAATCAATCATCAATAATAGATGTAATCGTATTGATAATAACAACAATAATGGTCATCATATCATCATCATTATTATTTCCATTAGTAATCTGTACATTGACTAGTCATTTTTGTGATGTTAAATATTCACGAACAAATTTTTTTGCTGCTAATTCCGCCTCCGCCACTATGACCATGAATATCAATGCAAATTGTTTTACTTCTTCTTTTATGGCTAATCCAAAAACAACAACAACAACAATCATTGGTAATAATGATAAATTATTATCGTCGTGTGCCAATAATAATAACAATAATTCAAATAATGGATCGCCACCATATCGACAATATATATTGGCAACCGTGTTTCTTATATTTTGGTTATGGTGTACATTTCTTGTACATCGTATATTATCCGATATATTCTATCATGAAAATTATTGGAGCCGTTCACATCATTTTCATATTGAATCAATGGATATTGACCTATTGGTTGCTGTATTTTCAATTATTTACATACAATCAGTATTACCATTCAATCCATATATTAATCTGGCTATACAATTTATTTGTTTTGCATTATATATCCTTATGGAAATTATGCAAATAATTACCGTATTTAATGATGATCGATTACGTATGATTATTCAACAACAGCAACAACGTTCCATAATAAACAATAATGAAACATCGTCATCATCATCATCATGGCAACAATCGCATCAACAACAACAATCATTGAATGATTCACATGGATTTAATGAATATATTGTTAAGAAAATTCTAACAGATATTCTGATATTATTAGCATTCATAACCTATACAACCGATTCACGACGACGTATGGAACAGGAAAATTGTGATACATTTGCCGGTGCACGAAAAATCATTGATGATCGAATATTACTTGAATTCGAACGTGAACAACAGGAACAATTATTATTATCAGTTATACCGGCATATATTGCTGCTGAAGTTAAACGTCGTATAATGGATAAAATGGATGTTGATCGTAAAGGTGCACGTGCTGAAATGGAAAAACAAAATAATAATAATAATCAAAAATCGACAAAAACTGCAACAACAGCTAATGTTACAAATATTAAAACAAATTTCAATCAAATGAATTCTGGTGGAAAAAATCGTCGTGAATCACATGCAATATCCGGTTCAAATCAAATATTATCGGGTAATCATCGATTAGCTGGTCCAGGTGATCTATTACCGAAAACACCACAAAAACAACGATTTCATGAACTATATGTACAACGTCATAATAATGTTAGGTATGTGAAAAAATGAATGATTTATCTATTTGCATTATTAGACAGAAAATTATATTCATTGATCCTATTATTTTTTGTTTTTTCTTCCATTTTTGAAATATATGATTCATTGGTGCGCGTTATTGGATCGGATATTTATCTGGATTATCATCGATTCCATAAACATTATATTCATTATCATAAATTATCTATGTTGTTGTCGTATTTTTTCCTGCATTTTTTCTGTCTCGGCATTAACGACTGGGAATTTGCGACCCGAAAAATCTATATTTATTTAAAGCCTATTATATGCCGATATCGTCAATTTTACACCATTATCAGAACAATTATCCGCTTCAGAGCTGGTACGAACATTGAATGATCTATTTGGACGTTTTGATGAATTAGCTCAGGTATGTTTCGAGTACATAATCTGTTTTCGTTTTCACAAGAAGTAGTTGTGTGTGTGTGTGTTTCAGCAAACAAAGAGAAAATAATTCATACAATAATAATGATATTATTATTATCATCATTTTGTTTTCTTCAAAATTTTCAGTTTTAAAATTTCAAAACTGTCACAATTATATTCCGTTCGCTTACACAACATAAATAATGTTGGGTAACATAATTAGAATGAATTATTCCTTGCAGGGTGGTAATGATTCAATTTTTTCGTCTAGAACTCGATATAAAAAGAGGGAAAAGTAGTGACCATTATCATCATTACTACAATAAAAAATATAGTCGAATGAAAGAACAAATTGACAATTCAATTTCATTTCATGGTTGATAATGATTGTAATAATTTTTTGAACAAAAAAAAGTTAGCAAATTTTTTTCATATTGTTATGCTTCTTTATAGAATCATCATCATTATTGTTTTCGTTGTTGTTGTTGTTATTATTGTTCCAAATGGAACCCTGACAAGTTTTTCTAATTTTGTTTTCTTTGGTTTGTGGTTCGCTTTCGATCGATTTTTTTTCTATTCGATTGCTTTTCTGGTTCATTGTTTTATTCAATGTTTGTCTTATTGCACAAACACACAAAAACAAATGAATCATCATTGCATGATACATGATTCTAGCATTTCATTTTTTTGTGTAAAACTTGCAACTTTTTTCGGTCGATTCTGTTGAATTTTTTCGAAATGAACATATATTTTATTTTACTTCAACTTTGTTTTTCCCTCTATATCCCCACACCGCCAATTTCAACACGTTATTGTGTCAATTAACACAAAAACACAGTGAGTGAGGCAATCATTCATTTGAATTGTGTATTTTTAAGATGATAATGATCATCATCATCAACAACATCAAATATTTGATAGAAATTGATCATTTGATCAAATCGAATTTTTATTGTATTATGAACCAAAAGTAATTGATGACATTCAAGAAATAACGTGTGTGTGTGTGTGTGTGTGTGCGGCCAGTGCACACAAAGTTTAGAAAATGAGAATAATATTCTAAATTTATCTTTACCTATCGATTTTATCGATTATTTTGTTCATTTCGACATTAGCAGAACAATTTTCGTTTTTATTCTTTTTTTTTATCAAAAAAAAAAAAATCATTCGAATCATAATGGTAATAAATCATGATCAAAAATAAGAACCAAAATAAAAATAAAATACTCGCTCAATTCTGCTCACCGCATACAATCATCGTTCTATGATTCTGTATATGTAAGATGCATAGCAACGATGGCAAAATGAAAGATGATGATGAACGTAAAAAGAAAACGAAGATTCTGATTCATATATTACTGACCTTCATTTCGTTATTAATTCTCATTATTTATATACAACAAATACATGTTCAATTTAGAAATAATCAATATATGACCACCACCGCCACAATCACCAACACGTCAATATCAACAACATTATTGTCATTTTGTGTGTGTGTGTGTGTGTGTTGTGTTTGTATTTGTGTGATCAAATGATCAATGACCACGATTGTCGCATTGAAATTGGTTTTCTTTTTTCGATTCACATATATAGAATTATATTGGGCCATTTATTGTCATGACAAAAAAAAATATTGCGCCATTACATCACGATCCAAATTTTTTTTCCATATTATTTATTTCTTAGAAATAGGACTCTATTTTTTATTCGATTTAGCTTTTATTAATTAAAATATGAGAGAGTATGAATGCTGTTTGTTGTATGGAAAAAAAATAAACAAACAATTTTGTTAGGTATGTATGTGACTTGTTCATAATCAAGCATCCACACCAATACCAATTATTCCATACATGAACATGTTCCACATCACACATTCTAAAACTTTTTTGGTTCTAGGAACATTTTTTTTTGTTTTTCATTCATATATTCATTCTATATTTATTTTTATTTTTATTTTTAAATTGTCCATCCAGGTATATGAAAAAACTCTTGGATAATAATGATGATTATCGTCATCGGTAGCAGCAGTATCCAAACATAACAGCTTCACTATTCTAATTATTTTTTTTTTTTGGAATTATTCTGCTTGAAAGAATTTTTCTTCATTCTTGATTTCTTCTTCGTTTCTAAGATTATTTGAATTTCATAAACAGTGAATTCTTACTGAAATAAGAATGAAAGAGAGAGAAAAAAGTTCTAAATAATTAACATTTGTCGTTTTTTTCCGTTGTTGTTGTCACAGTAATATTTTCTGTAAAGGTAGTATATTTGAAGATTCTCATTCCGGTCCAATTCTCGATGATTATGATGATGATGATGATGATGATGATGAGTTTCGATTCGAAGAATTCATTCATTGAGTGATGTTTGTAATAATAATAATAATCAATGATCATAATGCATTGAAGCGTTTATAATACCAAAAATAAAAAGATGCTATTCGAATGTTTATCATCATCATCAACATAGTTTTTGCAGTTCAATGTTCAATTATTTCCAAATGTTTGAATCCAAATGATAATCATAATAATGTTGATGTTGAAATTCCAGAATTCCTTTGTGTATATAATAATAAGAATAATAATAATAATCAAATCAGAATCGTTTCGCGTTGAATCTAATCATGATGATGATGATAAGCCGTTATAATAATGTTTTTAAATGGTATATTTACATTTGGGATTTCAAAAATTTCGTTGCTCTTTTTCAAACAAATTTTTCTGGTGATGATTTGATCTGGATTTTCCAGAGATTTCAGTACAATGACGATGTAATATTTATGCTATCCATGCAAATGTCATTATCATCATTATTATCGGTTCGTATTGATTTTTGTCCAGAAATTCTGTTTTTTTTTCTTTTCTTTTTGTTGTTGTTGTCAAAATTCGCTTTCACCTGGTTTTTTTCCATCGTTCGTTTCATTCGTTCTAAGCGATCTGGATAATGGAAATTTGATTTTCGCTTTTTCATTTGACTGAAAAAAGCTTACTTTTAGTTTGATATTATGTTTGTTTGTTCCATTTTGAATAGAAAAATAGGTTATTTGATTGAACATTTTCGAATATATCGAATTCTTTTCAAACGTTTTCTTCTTTTTTTTCAGTCAGTCGATTCATTGTTGATTATTGTTAGCTTCACTATTTTGTTGACAATGATGATGATGATTTCATGATAATTTCACTGTAGATTTTTTCTCATCACAATATACATCGAATAATGGTGTGAATGGTGATGAACAGCAGCAGCAACAATAACAGCAAAAATGAGTGAAAGAATTCAAAAAGAAAAAAAAATAATATTTCATAGTCGCAGGTGTTCGATTTAATGATGATAATGACCATTGAGAATATGTTTTGAATGATCGAGATTAGAGAAAAATTTGTATCTATTTCTATCAGTTTTGTTTATATGTATCCAAATGGTCAATTTCCAAAATCTATTTATCCATGATGTTGTGGTGGTCACCATATTATATTATATGAATAATGATGATGGCAATATGTGTCGAATGAAATGATCCATTGGAATCAAATTCTCAATTTCACATCGGACTTTAATCTAATTTTTCTGATGAATTTCATCATGTGATTCAATCACTGTATTTCATTCATTCATTTTGAGTATTATCACTACCATCATCACAATATTAATAATGATAATGTTCTGCTAGAGAATTCAGAATCATCATTACAATTTTAGCATCACATTTTCTTTCTCTTACCTATTCTTTTCTTATGAACCTTTTTTTGGATACTACACAATAGGAGAATCAATGTATGCGTATCAAAATTCTGGGCGATTGTTATTATTGTGTATCCGGTTTGCCTGTATCACGTCCAAATCATGCCATCAATTGTGTACAAATGGGACTACGAATGATCAAAGCAATCAAGTAAGTAGAATTATTATATAATATAATAAAGTATATGATATATATGATGAGAATGATTTTTATTTTTTTTATTATCCGGTATACACATCATCATCTTTAGAATATTCATTCTTATCATTTGACTTTTTTTTGTGTATGTGTGATTGGAATTTGTAATTTCAATTGATTTCTTGTATATGATTCAATATGATCATTGATAATTGATTGTTTTTTTCGTTTTTATATTTTCTGTTACTCCGTTATAAATATAGAATGGTCCGTGATGCTACCGGTGTTAATGTTGATATGCGTATCGGTGTTCATAGTGGTAATGTTTTATGCGGTGTTATTGGACTACGTAAATGGCAATATGATGTATGGTCGGATGATGTTACACTTGCAAATCATATGGAATCCGGGGGTGTTCCTGGGTATGTATGACATTTTTTTGGTTCCGATGTGTGTGTGTGTGTGTGTATGAAATTTTACTTAATATAATTGAAATTTTTCTTTCGTTTTGTTAGACGTGTACATATAACGGAAGATACATTAGATCGATTGGATAATCGTTTCGAAGTTGAACCTGGTAATGGACATCTAAGAGATTCTTATCTTGCACAACATGCAATTAAAACTTATCTTATTATTGATCCAACGGTATGTTGTGAAAAATCAATGTAATGTTATCGAAAGAATTTTTTTTGTTTCATCAAATTTTTTTTTTTGTTTGTTTGATACAGAAATCTAAACAAGATACATTGGATACAAAAAGTATCGCTGATACTGGTAATAATACATCAAATGATTGTGCATTATCATCAAAACGACGATCATCATTGCAAGTGGATGGATCAATCATTCACAATGATTTGATCAATTGCAAAAATAATGATAATCAATCATCACAAACAAATTCATCGTTAACAAACGTATCGAAAGTACAACGTAAAATGGGTCCAGGTGTTGGTAGTAAACGAAATTTTTCTAAATGGACTGAATGTGGTTCATCCGGATGGGCGGTTGATAAACCATTTTCAAATATTTCCGAATCTGTTATAGCTAAAAATGTTACACAAACGGTAAATATATAAACATGAAAAAAAATTCATTCATTGATGGTATTTTTGTTAGAGTATTGCATTAGTTGAAGCCGTCTTAACACCTACACCACAATCATTGATGGATACATTACGTTCATGGTTTTCCTGTTGTCTACCTGCATCCGAACTACAACATTATCATCCGCGTAAAGCGGAAATCAATTCCATTTTTCTTCATTTTAAAGATAGTTCATTGGAAAATCCATATGAACGACATGCATTTGTGGGCAATTTTCCCACAAATTCCTTAAATGTAACCATTTTAATGTCTGTATTGGCCATCATTGAATTCATTTTGCTTCCAATGTATGTTGTTCGTGACACATTTAGAAAGAATATATTTAAGAAAAAATTTATCTTAATTGATTTTCTTCAATCCAATAATTTTATTTTGCAGAAATATTTTTACACTTACATTGATTATATCGATGATAATCATCGCATTAACATTTACCATATCGATACTAATACAATCAATTCGCAATCATCAGGTACCATTGACCATGTTACCAACACGATTTTCAACAACATTTGATCAATATAATAATAATGGTGCGAATAATACCAATAATATCGGTACGAATATCTGTGATGATTTGGAAACCGGATCAAACATTGGAAATACATCAATTACACATCATAATACATTACAACAACAACAAAAACGAATGAAAATATTCGAATGGTATCAACGATTAGGTATGGTGATGGGTGAAAAATTGGATTTCATACATGTATCGATTAGAAATTATACGGAAAATTTTCTAAGTTGTCATCAACAAAGTATAATGCTATTTTCATTAAGTATTTGTTCGGCATTAACAATCATAATGATCACTATTGAACATTGTCTTACATTTGTTCCATCCATTGTTAATTGTGATGATGTACCAATTCCAATCATGATGATAATGACTACTGCTACTGGTAGTGGCGATACTATTCCTACGATCACAACTACATTGAATGAACATCAAAAATGTCAACTTGAATTACGACATTACTTTCGCGTTTCATCCGTCATTGTTTTGATGCTCATCTCAACATCATTGTCACATTTGAAACATACATATCGTATACTTGTGCAGATATTCTATTTTGGTATATTAGCCATATTGAACATTTTGGCTGTTGGAAATTCCGGTACAAATGCTCCATCTATGATTCATTCTACAAATATTTCATTAGATAATCAAAATATAAATGATGATCATAATATTATGGATACGACAACGGAAGAAGCGACACCAACCGGTGTTTATGGTGCTACAATATTGTTTGCCCTATTCTTTTCATTAATCCTTTATGTACGTGATCGTCATATTGAATTCTCATCTCGTCTGCATCAATTATGGAAGGCAAAACTTCAAGTTGAACAGGAAGATGTTGAAACTATTGGCGGTATCAATAAAATTTTGTTAGAAAACATTCTACCACAACATGTTGCACAACATTTTCTATTGAATAATTATGGTCCAAATCGAACATTATATCACGAACGTTATAATTCAGTTGCCGTAATGTTTGCATCAATACCAAATTATCATGAATTTTATGATGAAAATGATGTCAACAAACAAGGACTAGAATGTTTACGACTACTGAATGAAATAATCTGTGATTTTGATAAATTATTATTGAAACCAAAATTTAGCTGTATTGAAAAAATTAAAACTATTGGTAGTACTTATATGGCAGCGGCAGGTTTACAACCCGGACGAGAAAGTTTTGAAGCCGGTGCTAAAGAAGGTAGTTTTAAACTACATCGTGAAGAACATAACGTCATTTCCTTGGTGGAATTTTCCATTGCATTGAATAATGTCCTACAACAGATTAATCGTGAATCATTTCAACGATTTCGTCTTCGTGTTGGAAGTAAGTTTATCATTTTTTGGTTCTTTTTGTTTACTTGAATCTTTTTGATTTATAAATATATAATAGTAAATCATGGACCAGTGATTGCCGGTGTTGTCGGTGCACATAAACCACAATATGATATATGGGGCAATACGGTTAATGTTGCATCACGTATGGATTCACATGGTATGATGGGTAAAATACAGATACCTGTGGCAACAGCAAAATTACTTATGGAACATGGTTATGATTGTGAATGTCGTGGCCGTATACATGTAAAAGGTAAAGGTGAATTGGAAACATATTTCATTAAATCACCTGCATTGAAAGATGAATTATGATCGAAAATAAAACAAAAAAAGAAGAAAAAATCGAACAACAAATTTTTCAGTTCATTTCTAAATTCCTATCGAAAGTGAAAACCTTCATTCTATAATCCAGCCAAAAATGACCAGAAAAAATCTTCTTGATTCCATTATGTAAATGGATTTTCATTGTAAAACCGCGTAACACAAACTATACATGCACACAAAATCAAATTGGAATCGATTCAACAAACAAAATTTTCCTTTTGTGTGTGTATGTTTCATTCATTCATTTGAAAAATTTCCTCATTTTTTTGTTATGCCGAAACCACAACTTTTTTTTATTTGTATAATACGACGACGGTGACAATGAATTGATTATCACTATCAATCATCATTCAATTTTTTTTGTGTGTCTTTTGTTAAAGTTTTTTTTCATTATTCAGTTTTGTAAATGTACAAAAAAAGGCAATGAAAACAATTTGATTAAATCACAAATGAAATCAAATGAAGAAAAAAAATTCCATTTCGAATAATGGAGAAAATAAAATTCATAAATCTAAACATGCATCCAAAAATACACACACACACACACACACAATGATGTATGAAACCAGAAACGCTCAACACTTGAACAAACACAAAGTTACACAAAAATTGATACCAATTATAAATAGAAAAATAATAATATATGACATGTATTCCGTGTTCATAGAATCAAACAAATCTCTGTTTGTTTACATTTTATTTTGTTATCATTATCATCATCATTTTAGAAATTCTCATTTTAGTTTTGTATACATACATGGTTTGAGGTTTTTTGTTTCATGTGTAGTTTTGTATATCATCCATCATGTATAACATGTAATTGTAAACAAAAACAAAACAAAAAAAAAAACACAAATTTATCCATTGAAAATATCATCTGTGATAATGAACAGATAATTCTGTTTCCGGTGTCCAATAATAACAACTACAACAAAAATTCAAATATCAATCCTCAACACCATAATCCTATTTCGATTGAATGAATCCAAAAAAAAAAAAAAAAAAATGATTTGGCACAGAACGATAAAAATCTATAGTTTTCACATTCAATATCATTTATTATTTTAATTCAAATTAATATAAATGTCATTTTCTTTTCTAAATTCACGTTATTCATTTATTATTGTATTGATTTTAATCAATTAATTGATTAATTGATTGATTGTTTCAGATTTTATTCAAATTATTGTTGTCTATCTTGTGTAACAAATTTTTAATATTATAAATACACATATATATTTTCACCTTCAAATTGGTTTTAAAATCATTATTGATTATATATTTTTTTTCATTGAATTTTAATTGATTGTTGATTGATTTTTTCTAAAAAAAAAATGATTAAATTTAATTTTTTGTGAAATGAATTTAGAAAATTTGTGCAAGAATTTTTTTTTATATGAAATCTTATTTCGAAGAGAAATAGTTTCATTCTAAATGGGGGGAACAACGGGAGCAACGATGATGTGTTTAATCAATTTTTTTTCAGTTCATTATCGTAGTTGAGAATTTTTTTTTACCTGAAAAATTCCACAATCTATGAACGAAAAACTTCAACTGTTGTCACTAGATTTGGTGCACAAATTTTTTGAAATTTTTCACGCAATACATTTTCACGGCAATCCAATTTTTCGGAATCCTGACAACAATTTTCCATTAAATTTTGTGATTCAATAGCTATGATTGAATATTGTTGATTAAAATGATGATGATGATTACGACGTTTACGTATGATCGGTAATTCTAATGATGGATTTGATGATGGTGATGAAGCAGACGAAGATATAGCCGATGTTCTTCTAATTAAATCCAATATTTGTTCAGCATGTTGTTGTTGTTCATCTGAATTATCCATCGTTTCCATTGTCAGTGATAATTCATCCGTATCCGGTGTCAACATTGATGATTGTTTTGAATGAAAATATGATGATTCAGGAAAAAATGGTGATATATTGCGTTTACGACGTCCAACGATATTACCACCACATAATAACCGCATTGATTCCACACAAGAATCCAAAAATAATTGATTCAAATACATACGATATGTACGATTACAATAATGGCCATCGATACCTTCGATTGAATAAACGGATAATAGACCGCTGACATTGTAAACGGGAAATTTTGAACGAAATAAATTTCGATGATGATGATGAGCAGAAGCGGCAGCGGCAGCTGCAGCCGCTGCCTGTACATAATCATCTTCTAATTTAATATCATTAATTTTCAATGATGGTTGTGTTTGTACCAATAAACGATGTTGTTGCCAAACATTTATGATTAAAAACATAATGGCCAACGATATTGGTGATAACCAGCTACAATTACCTTTGTTAGACATCATTTTTATCAATCTTTTTGTTTCAAATGATGATGATGATGATGATTGACGTATCAATGATGTTTTTGAATTATCTTCCAAGATTCGTACAATTTTTGTTGATAACTTAACGACAATAACGAGTTCAAAATTAATCAATATGATTGTTTTTTTTCTTGATGAAGTGATTTTTCTGTTTTTGGTTTCAATGATGATTGATGATATCAAATCTTGAATATATATCGACTTTATATACCCGATTTTGATTTTCTTTTCTTTTTCTAATTCCATCATCATCATCATCATTCAGTCACAACAACCGCCACTATCGATAATAATAATCATGGATCATGGCCAGAATATTCTGGTTGATTGAAATTGGAAAACAAAAAATTCCAACAATAAAATGATTTAATGAATTATGAATATATAAATATATCTCATCCCACATGATATAATCGATTTATAGGGAAAAATGACTCATAAACACAATCAGAAAACGTCCATGAAAGGAGATCTAAGAATTTGTTCATTTTCAGCTTTTTTTTCGATAAGGCTTATTATTATTATTGTTATTATTTCGTCATTCATTTTACACACACACACACAAACAACAAATCCGAATGAAATTCAAAATAATTAATCCATAATGTCTGCAAATGTCATATGTGTACAAAATTATTAAAGAACGGCACAGAACCAAGAATGAAACACATATATATGTTCCGGTGCCCGGTAATAGTATGATATGCATATATACGGTCAAATTATTCTTGATCGAATCGAATGTTTCTGTCATCGTCATGATGATGACGACAAAAATTACTGATTAACATCTTCTCTCTCTCTCACTCTAACCTTTGGTTTATTCTTTTCTTTCTTTAGATTAAGATTTAAGTCAAAAAAAAAAGGATTTTCAACATAGAAATGAGTGAAAGAAAAAGATTATGAAATCGAATTTGAACTGTTGTCCAATTACGTTTGTCGTCGAAATCTTTTCTCGAAACAATTTTCTCTCTGTTTCTTTTTTTCGATATATATATATTTTTTTTTGTTGTTGACAATGAACTTGAATTTATTTATTTCATATGCTTCAATTTGAATTTATTCATTCAATTTGTTATTTTGTATTTTACAATGAATATTTTAATATATATCAAATTCTGTCCAAAGATCTGAACCACATGAGAAAATCTTTTTTTTTTTTTTTCATTCTGTTGATGGCAGTTTTTTTTTGTCGTTGGGTATATTGTTCATTCATTCGTTCGTTCGTTCGTTCGTCATCATCATTGCCATTTCTTTATTGGTCGTATTTGACATCATTTTTTTTCAATATCATTCTATTGCCACATCCATAAATCAATTATATTTAGTTTACACACACACAGTTGCTAACACAACGCCAATTTTGCAGCCGGAATTGTTGAATTTTCATTTTTGCCATTTTTTTGTCATCATAATCATGATCAAATGACATTAGAGTGGATATTTATAAGCTTTATTAAATGACATCATCATTCCAATAATGATGAACATTATTACAATCGTAATTTAAATTAATTAAAAATTTCAAAAATGACATGATCATATTGAATTTTGACAACAACAAATAATATCTTAATGATTATGATCATTGATTTTTTTTTTCGTTGAAACCTTAATGACATTTCAAGGTTAATTTTACAAATAAATTTTATGATGATCATGATAATCTCTTCCAATGATTCACAATGAAAATATTGTTTTTATTCTTTGAATAAAAAATTTTCAGAATTTTCCCATTTTAGCCAGATTGATTTGTTTGGCTAATTGTTTTTTGTTTTGTTCGTTGACCATAATTCAATCAAATCAATTAATTAGGAATCACCCTCCAACAACAACAATGACAATGACGACAGCAGAAAAAAGTCGTTAAACTTTTAGAAAAATTGTTTGTAATTTTTTTTGTTATTTCGTGATATCCGAATTGAAATCAATTGTCAATCAATATTCAATCGACATTCAATATTGCATATATGCATCATTACATCGATTAATTGGGTTTTTGGTATGTATGTGTGCAATATAATAAATAAAAAATAATAATGAAAAACATGGATGGAAATAAAATCCATCAAGACCACGATTCAGCCAGTGATAATGATGATGATGATGATGATGGTAATAAATTTTTTTTTATTAGCAATTGATTGTATCCGATGGGTGATCATTGAAATTCACGGAATAGAAAAAAAAACACATCAAATAATCAATTTTCAATATTTTTAAATAAATACATTCCAGGTCCAACCTGTTGTGCGCACCCAAAACCATCAGAAAATCGTTATTGAGAATGATCTTGGATTGTTTTTCAAAAATGAATAATGTTTGATTGTGAAATTTGTTTTTCATTTTCAATTCACATTTTTCGACAAACAAAATCAAACAAACAAACTAAACATGAATGAAATGGAAACAAAACAAAAAAATATAACTTGATTCCAATTCACTCTGTGAACAACAATGACAGAAAAACAGAAATTTATTTGTTCAATCAGTGAATGAAAAATTTGAATTTGCAAAAAAAAACCGGGCCAAACATTTTTTTAAAAAAAAATTGACATCTTTTTTTCATGATTGTCCTCGATTCGGAATATGAAAAAAAAGTACGCAGGTGTAAATGTTTTTGAATGTGCACAATCCATATTTGTGATCAAACAAAATTTGAGGGGGGAGAAAGAAAAAAAAACATTGAAATTTGCCACAACCTTTTTTTTCCATTTGAAAAACTGAATTTATATTTCTCTTGTCGATCTGATTTGTTTTTTTTTTTTGTTTTTGTTTTGATCGGTTAACAAATTCGTTCCAAATTTCATGTTTTTTTTTCACATTCCAATTCGAATGAACTTTTTATACAAATGATGATCTTGAAACCAAACCAACAATCGATACTATCGATAAACATGTGAATTGTGTATGCGAACTTTTAAACGACGCAACAAAAATTAATAAATTCATCATCATTTTTTTATATTATTTACCTAAACGATAAATTTTTTGTTTTCTTTACAATGTCAAATTAAAATCCTAAAATGACGATAATGATGACGATGATGATGAAATTATTTTGATTTGTGATCAAACTTTTTTTTTTTTTTAAATGTTGTTACTACTTGCTACTGCTGCTGCACATTATTACGATAAAACAAACAAAACAAAAGAAAACAAGAAAAAAAAATCAAATATTCACAAGTTTTTGTTCATCATTCATCCATCCATCTATCATTTGTTTATTCAGAAAGAAGCTATTCCTGGAAATGTACCCAAAAATATACACACACACAGTTATTCGATAAGTATGTTTCAAATGGTCGATGATGATGATGATAATAATGAACAAGATGGCCATGAGATAGGATTGTTCGATTCGATTCGATATGTAAATGTTCGAAATTGCACACACACACACACACATCCCAAATCTTCGTATGTAACAAATTTGATAAATGTGTCAAAAAAAAAAATTAATTTTTTGTTTTATTTGACAATCAGCTCCCAATTTGGATCGAATGAATAATAATTATTATCTATGAATTCAAGACACACAACCAACCATACAATCAACCATACATTCATTCATTCATTCACAAGTAAAATGAATCCATTCAACCAGTGCATAAAAAGTTAACAACAACAAGAATCAATCAAAAGTACGACAACATATCCATTATTATCGTTTTAATATTTCTTGTTTGAAGAGAGAGAGAGAATTCTAAAAACAACAAATTGAATGAACAATAATGATGATAATAATATCTTTATCGAATCAACGGCGATCATATATCGTTTTTTTTCTAGTTTTTGGTCGTTTTGTCGATGTCCATGGAACAAAAACAACAACAATAATGAAATATAATATAGACATAGCCTGCCATTTTTCCATTCATTTTTTTTCCTGTGTTTTGATGGCCAATGTCATACACAAATTCGTTCGTACAATGTCAATTTCATTACGATTTTAAGTAGTATTTTTTTGTTGTTGATTTTCAAATTGAGTATTTATTTTTATTGTTTGAGGTAGTTGATATTTTTTTTTTTAATTTTTAAATTCTCTTAAAATTTTTCCGCACTCACTACAACCATCATCGACTATATAATGAATATAATAACGATAATGACAGACAACAACAACAACAAACAACAGGAAACATAAACATCCATACATATTGATTGTAGATTTGTCTGATGATGATGACAATTCATTTTCGATGATTTTTACTTTTTTTTTGTTTTGATGATAAATCAAAATTTCTTATGGCTAATTTTTCTCCTGTTTTTAATTAAATTCTATTGACATTATGAATGATGGTCAGAGAAAAGGGGTGATGGTGGTGAAAAAGTAGATAATGAGTTGATGATGATGAAGATTGTGAGAGTGAGAGAGAGAGAGCCATTATGAAGATAGTTTTTTCATTTAAATTTTTTCATTAAAAAAATTTGTTCGTAATTGTTTTTCCACTTATCATGATCATCATCATCAATTGATTGATTGATTGATTCACGTGCTTTTTAAATGACTATTTTTTCTATATGAAATGTTTGTTGATTCTCTCTATGTGTTGCTGCGTGTTGTTCAAAATTTCAGATCAAATTGATTGATTGATCTGTTTGAATCATTATGAATCGTATCTATTATAAATACTTGAAACATTAAAAAAAAATGTGAATTATAATTTATCCATCATTTTTTTTTTATCATCATCGAATGAATGTATGAACGAATCCTTTATCGAATACAGAATCGATATGTTCAGTCAAATGTTTCACATTCAATTAATCAACCAATTCGATGATCATGATATATTATTGACGATGACATCGTCGATTATTCAGGAGAAAAAAATTTTTTTTTCTCTCTTTGCTAATTGATTTAAAGTTATCAATTCATTATGGTCAATAATAAATTATTATTGATGAATTGGTGGAATTTTTTCCCATTTCTTATCTATTAAATAACGAATAATATTTATGAATTTTCACCATAAATGTTGATTACATCAATTTTCTATTTTTTTCAAAATCGTTTCGTTTCAATCGAATTTCATCATCATCATCATCATCATCATTATCTTTTCATCATATACAAACATTCGATTCAATTTCGGTTAGTTCCAGGTACACGTTATTATCATTAGATATCTTAGGTAAATTATTTTACCTTGAAACATCAAGGTAAAATATTCATTCAAACATCTTACACATTAAACACACACACACACACCTCTTACAACATTTGTTCAAAAAAAACCTTGGTTACCATACCGGATAGCACACTTATTGATGATGATTATTTATAAATGTGAAAGAAGAAACAAAAAAAACGAAACGGAAAACCTCTCTCTTTCTCTCCATTCATTAAGGAATAAACAGATTCTAACCTTTTTCGTTGTTGTTTTTTACTTAAAATTTCATTGATCTCACCATTTCGTTTTCTCTATATTCATTCATCATTGACTCTCACCAACTGATTGATTGATTGATTATCAACAAACATCATTCAATCTAACTAATCAATTGAATGAATGTGATTGAACAATTGAAAAGTTTAAAAAATAAATTCAATTTGTATCGCATACAGGTTTCATTCGTTTACAAATTCCAATTTTTTTCAATTTCATTCAAATGATTTTTCAAACAGCAGCCAGCCAGTCAGCAAGCACCAATGAACAAAACCAGAAATACAGTGATAGTAAGAGTGAAAGGAAGATAGAAAGAGAGAAAGAGAAATATTGGTTTTGAAAAGAGACCTGTTGCTGTTGCTGCTGTTGATGCTTTGACGACAAACAAACACACTCCCCATTATAGATGATTATAACAATTTTTCCATTATTCACAATTTAAACATCAACGATGTTGTCGTCATCTTTGTCGTCTTCGTCGTTTTATTCAATGTTGATTCAGCCAATAATAATCGGTTTGGTAGAATCATTCTATTTGATCGATCGATCGAATGAATGGAAAGCGACTGTATTGTATGACTTTACTTCATTGATCTGAATCTATTTTGAATCAACATTTATCCCATCTATCCATCAATCAATCACGCACAGACACAGTGTCACCGGATGATGGACATAACCAATTTGATTCGGTTTAGATAGAAATCAATGAAAACAGAACAAAAAAAATGTTGTTTTCGATTATCGATGATGATGAAATATCCATATTGTTTTCTTATTTGATTTGATAATCGATTCACTTTTTTTTTCTTGTTCTTCTCATTCTTCTTGTTTCATTCTTGGTCACATCAATCAATCAAATGGAATCAACAAAAATCAAACAACAACTTTTTTGTCATTTGTCACCGTGTTTGTTTGTGTGTCTTTGAACAACGGATAGGCCAATTTATCTGATGTCGATCTTGTCCAATAATATTTGTGTTTTGTTTTAATTTCGTTGTTTCACAATGAAATTATCCATCATACTCATCATTCATTTTGTATTATCGATTTTTCGAACATAAAAGTTTTAGTGCTGTTCTCGTAAAATAGTGAACGAATGAGTGTGGAACAAATTTTTTTTCACGATCCAATACGGGTTGATTTTTTTTCTTCTTGTTGAAAATTCAAATTCATCAAACGATGTGAATTGGTGATGGTGATGGTGGTGGTGATGGTGATGACATTTGAATGTTTGACGGCGATGATTACTTTCTCTCATTCTTACTTTCACTTCACTTTCACTCTCACATTCTTCCTGTGTGTTTAATTAATTATTCAATCCTGTTTGATCATCATTGCCATTTGTGAATCTTAATTTTTATATATATGATGATCACACACACAAACATACACACACAGAGTCGTTCAATGTAATGAATGAATAAATACAAAATTGAATTTTGAAAAAAAAATCATTCAAATATTTTGTGTGTATTCAAGTGAAAAAATATTTCCAAAAAAAAAATCAAAATCAAAATCAGATTTTTTTTTTTTTGTTTGAAGGTAATTTCAATTCACATAACTTGATTTATATATTATTATTATTATTACATACAAAATAAGAAAAATAAAACACTCACCTGATGAAAATGAAGTAATCGACACTAATGAAATTGGATTGAATTTTTTTTGTTTTGTTAAAAAGGTGGTGTATAAATCGAACGTTCTTTTTTTTCGTAATAACATCGTGTGTTTGTGTGTGTGTGTGTGTGTGTGTATAACAAACACACAATACACATACAACGTAATAAATAACGATGGCGACATTTATAATCGCCAACAATCTTATTCGATCATCACTATCGTCGTCATCATTAATAAAATGGTTATCGACAGCGACGACAATATCGATATTATCATCAATCATAATTTTATCCATAATCATTGATTCGATTGAATGTATAAATGATGATGTGAGATATTATCATTATTCTATTGATCATCATCAACAACCACAATCAAATTTAAATCCATATTCATCATTATCGTATCAAACATTACCTGGACAGATACAAAATTTAACAAATCAAACATTTATTTTACGGAAAAAAACTCGTAAACCAAAAAATAATCAAACATTATCATCATTACAACAACAATATCCATTAAAACAATGGCAATCATCAACTTCACTCAATCGGAATAACAACAATTCAACAATAATACATCCATATCATGTACTTATTGGAGAAGGTCGTAGTCCCTTACCATCATCGGATAATAATGAAACTGTTACAGCATCCGGTTCGAATATTCAACCAATTAGTATTATACGTACAAATAGTTTTCAACAGCAACCATTAATGGATTCACAACAATATCCTGTTCAAGAAGCAATGATCGATATACAAGAACAGCCATTACCAAATTATCAATGTGATTCAATCATACATGATTATCATTTTATTATTGAATCACCTGAATATCCGGCACAATATCCAGTAAATAGAATATGTTCATATTATATTGGTAAAAATCGTACTGATGTTTGTCAGGTGAGATCGATTTTCAAATTTGAAACAAATTCAATTTACAAACCAAAATTATTTCAATTTTCTGAAATAGGAAAATCTCCATTTTAAAACACTAATATTAGATAGTTCAATCTGATTTTTGACTTTTAAAATTACATTTGAAAATTTGAAATTTTTGTTCTCTTTTTCTTCATTGCATTTCAAGGTTACTATTATTGTCTTTGTTTCGATGATGATGATAATGTGATGAAATCATTCATGAAAATTTACAATATCGATTGATTGATTGAAAAAAAATCAACAATTGAACAGTAATGATAATTCATGTAATTAGCCATTAATGATAATTAACAATCATTCATTTGAATTCATTGAAATCAATTATCAATCATCGTTGTTTATATTTATGGTTTTTTTCCATTCAAAATAGTAGTTTTATCGATTGATTGATTTAGGAAAAATTTCATTTCATTTCATTTTCATTCTCATTTTTGTTTTATTTTATTTAAATTTTTAAAATATATTCAGATTGAGCTTACCATCTCTGATATGGACATTGAAGATACGGCTCAATGCACCGGTGATTATCTTGATCTTGGTATCACAAGTATCCAACCATTGAATCAAACTACTAAACAACTACGGCCACAACCGCAACAAGGAGAACGTCTTTGTGGTCTAATGTTACGAAATACAAGACGTATGGATTGAATTTCTTTTTCATTTTTTTTTGTTTATCATTATTGTTGTTTTTAAAAAAAATTTTACTTTAATTTTTTTTTTACATAGGTATTTTAAATTTTCCTCCGAACGCTTCACATATTCGTCTAACATTTCATTCGGATTCAAAAAATAATCGTCCATATCGCGGATTTTCGGCAGAAATTCAACAGATACCCGGTAGTTGTTCATATGTAAATCATTCGTATACGACCAGTTGGAATCCACAATATCCGTTTGGCAGTTCAAAAGGTCCTGTTTATCAACCGGGTAGTAGTAGTGGTGGTGGTTCATATCCAACATCACAAATACCAATCAATATTGGTTCCAGTTCTTATAATCCTGCTTATGGTTATAAATATCCTGCCATTGGTGGTAATCACTATTCACCGCAACAACCTGTTCCTGGAACAGCAGGTGTTAGTTATTATCCACAACAACAACCATATCCAATGTCTGGACAATATCCGATGAATACGGCTGGACAATATCCAGGATATCATGGACAACAACAACCATATCCAACAACAGGCATTAATACTGGATATGGTCAACGATTATATCCACCACAACATCCACTTTATAATAATCGTCCATCCATTCAAGATCCTAGTGGTGTCATCTATCAGAATGCAGATAAAATACCCGGATCGCGACCTGCAATATATCCCGGTAGTGGTGGTGGTGACATGAAATCACCATATGATCGAAATCGCCCATCTTCTATATATCCACATAGCAATACAACAGTTGGACCAATCTATTTGCTATCATATTGCGATGTGTATTTGGGTGAATATCAAGGTGAAATTCGTTCACCGGGTTATCCATTTGGTTATCCAGTAAATCATACATGCATGTATACGATAAAAAAAGCCAAAGATGATGTTTGCGGATTAGAATTAATATTTCATCATTTCGATGTTCAAACACCAAATACTCAAAAAGATTTGACAGATAATTGTCATGGTGATTACCTTCTATTACCTGATGGTGAACGTCTTTGTGGTTATTATACACAATCAATGAGTGGTGATTATAAATTGAAAAAATACTTTGAATTTCCCGAAACATCGGAATATGTATTCATGCAATTCATAAGTGATGGACAACAAATACCGGATGGCAGTGGTTTCTGGATCGAAGTTAAACAGTTATCGAATAGTTGTAAAACCAGCGTAGATTATCCATCTATACGTTGTGATCGTATTATTTCCGGCAAATATTCACAAGTTGATCGAATTTATTCACCTGGCTTTCCACAATATTATGGTAAAAGACAACAATGTGTCTATTTCGTACAACCAATGGATGATAAAACATGTGAATTTGAATTGGATCTTGTACAATTTAGTCTGGAACAGCCATTAAATAATCCACAGGAAGAATGTCGAAAAGATTATCTACAACTACCGGATCGAAAACGCATCTGTGGTCATCATAAATTTCGACGAATATTTCAATTTCCTAAATACCATGATCGTACCAGTATGTTTTATTTTCATTCAGATGATCAAATCGAAGATCGTGGATATGAAATTGTTGTTCGTCAATCGCCAAATAGTTGTGATAATTATAATTACAATATTAGTGGTCAATCACCAACAACACAGCCATGGAATACAAATGTTTATGTTCCATCGAATGATCCGAATATACCACCTGGTTATGTACCGCCTACACCGGTTTTCACATTTGATAACAGTACCGGTGGTTTACAGCCATATCAGCCACCATTACGTCCGGGTAACACCAATATATATCCTGGTGGTCCTAATGTTATTAAAATTGGACCCGGTGAATTCGGTCGTAAAAATCTTTTACCATCAGCTGTAAATATTCCTGGTTATCCAACACCACCACCATATTGGATGAATACAAACATACCGAATAATTTGAACGATCCAAGAAATGTTGATTCTTCTGGTACGATACCATTATTCTATGCAAATGGAACTTTGGCAACACGAATACCACCGATGAAACCGGTGGATATGATACCGTATTTGAAAAAAGGAAAAACAATTATCCAAAAAGATTCTATTGGTCGATCATTCACTATTCACACACCACAAGATATGAATGCTGTCACATTCAATCGCATACCGAATGTTCAACCGGATGAACCTGAATTTCAATCTAGTGCTCGAATACAACAATCGCCAAAAATCGAACGTTTACGTTCATTCGATCAGATGCCAGCTGCTGCAGTCGATACTATGAATATTATGCCCGTATATAATTGTGATCAATCCATTACCAGGCCAGTGGAATATATTCGTAGTCCAAATTTTCCAAATAATTATCCGGTCGTAACACGTTGTATTTATTCAATACTTAAATCCGATACAAGTGTCTGTCAAATTCGTTTACATCTATTGTCATTAGATTTAGAATATACATCTGGATGTCGTAATGATTATCTTCATATTGAACCAACAGGTGAAAAACTTTGTGGTCGTTTTAGCCAGCCGGAAGTTCGTGGTAAGTTTCATTACAAACCATCATTTTAATTCACCATTTTCATAATTTTTTTTCTTGATCCATTAAAAAAAGTTATAAATTATTATGGCTATTCACGTGATATTCGATTGATATTCAATTCGGATCGTGAAATTACAAGCACTGGTTTTGAAGTTCGCATTGAACAGATACCAAATTCCTGTAATGAACAACGACCAAATGTTACTACATTGAATGCTATGGTCATTACACTTGGCAGACAATTTCAACAGAAACAGCAACAACAACAACAACAAAATCAACCATCAACATTGACTACATTACCATTATTGTCAGCTGTTACATCATCACCAATGTCGACACCATCTTTGGATCGATTACGAACAAGTGAACCAGTTTTTGCAAGTTCAATTGGATCACAAGATATTTCACCACAAGCATTGATTAATATGAATCAAACGACAAGTACTACATTGACTCCTGGTATGCTTTCAACAAATAGTCGTGTATGCAAAACAACAACAGCAATAGAAACCTATTTTGAAAGCGATAATTTTCCCCTTGAATATCCAAGTAATTTGGATTGTTCTTATCGAATATTTCGTGCAAATCGTAATGTTTGCCGATTAGAAATTGATTTTGAAGAATTTAATGTTGGCGATGAAAATTATTACGGTCCTGATGGTAATCAACGATCATCGGTTCGTTTCGATGATGATCTGAATGATGATATGACTCAACGACGAGAACTACAACGTAATCGTCCTATTGGTGAATGTCTAAATGATTTCATTGAAATCGATGGTATCCGTTATTGTGGACAACGATCTGGTCAACAGGTGGCAATAAATTTTCCAAAATTTTTAAATGAAATTCCCATACGATTTATATCGGTCAATTCACCACATGTATCCAGTTTTAATGGATTCCGTTTGAAAGTACGACAAATTGATCAAAATTGTCGTACATTATCATCATTAACGAGTCGTTCGAATAATAATAATGATGTTGAAATGGAAGATGAATTTGGTCCAGCCATTGTTGAATCATGTCCAAAATTATCAACGAAAAATTCAAGTTCAACATTGCTACAATCATCATCATCGGCACCAATGATAATGGTTATTGGTTTAGATGGTACAACTAATTATATTGATCCATCATCAACAATCAATGAAGAATTAGTTAAAATACAGAGTCCACAATTTAGTCTACCATCACAGTTACAATATGAACCATTTTTGGATTGCAATTATGTCATACAAAAAGTGAATAAAAATATCTGTGCATTGGAGATACGATTCGAATTATTTTCATTAGAACAATCATTTTCCTGTGAAAAAGATTATCTGCAAATTAATCGATTAAAACTTTGTGGTAAAATACCAATGGATACGACACGTATGTTTCATTTTTCTTTTTCATTTAAAAAAAAATTAAATTTTCATTTTTTTTCATTCAGGTGTATTCGAATTTCTTGATGATCAAATGATTATAAATTTTCATACGGATTCTGATCAACAGGAAAAAGGTTTCGCAATGATACTCAAACAGATTCGATGTTGACCATTCTGAATTCTGGACCAACGATAATTCAATCGATCCATCTTATCATTATGAAAAACAAACAAAGAAAAAAAAATCTAAACAAATCACAGCCACTTTTTTTTCTATCATACACAGTCATCAATAAATTTTGATTAATTTACATATATGTGGTATTATTATATAATTAATATTCTGGACATGTATAACGCCTGTGACGCACATTTATACATAGTGAAAACAAAACAAAACAAAACAAAAACTCTTGAATCCTTTTCCTATAAACATAAATTCTGAACATGAACATTTTTCAATCATCATGATCTTGAACATTAAAATTTTTATTATTGTTATTTTTTTCACGATAAAAATTTATTAATTATAATTATTTAGCACTGATGATGATAAGTGGATGCTTCAATTTTTTTTTTGATTTTGATTTTGATTTTTTTTTTTGAATGTAACAATTTTTTCCTCTTTCTTACACTTTAAATTGTTCATTCTCTTATCATAAATAAAAAATAATGATGATGATGATAATAATAATAATAATGGTAATTAATACACTAGAGGTTAATTTTCTTTCTTTTTTTTCTCTCTCATTTTCAAATTTAAACTCCCATTATTTGTTACTATGAGGCTGTTTTTTTTGATTGTAAATTGTTAAAAAAAAAAAGAAAAATTGTACATTAATTGATTGTATTATAAATGTGTGTGTGTGTGTGTGTGTGATGTACATAAACACAATTCACTATCATCATCATCATCATCATCAACGGCAATAATAAGTACTTTTTTGGGATTGCCTTTTTGAAAAATTTTCATCATTGAATGAATCGAATGTTTTCCAACAAACAAGCAAAGAAAAAAATCGATCAATTGATCATATTCAATACATTGGCGTTATTTTTGGATTATTTAAATCAGATTGATTTTTTCATCGATTCTCATTATGTTTAAACCATTGACTTAAAGATTTTATTTGATTTATTGTTGGTTTGATTGTTTTTTTTGGTTTTCCTAGTTATAACCACCATCATCATCATCATCATCATCATCATCATCATCATGAAATTGGGATATCGACATTTAGTTGCCTTATTGATTATGTTATCAACAATGATGGCATATCTCGGCCGTATGAATCTATCGACGGCTATTGTTGAAATGGCTAAACATCATAAGAAAACTACAACAGGCAATACAACAGACAATACAACGACAACAACGACAGCTAAACATTTTGATTGGAATGAAAAAACCCAAGGTGTTATATTGGGAGCATTTTTCTATGGTTATTTTGCTCTGCAATTAATAACTGGTCGTTTAACAGAAATTATTGGTCCACGATTACTTGGAACGATCGGTTTGGCATCTACTGCATTGATTAATCTTCTAACACCATTTTTAGCCGAATATTATGGATATTTTGTTGCATCACGTGTATTAATGGGTACATTACAAGCTGGTATATTTCCATGTGCATTTGCATTGGCTGCACATTGGATACCGGATCATGAACGTTCAACAGTTACATCGATGGCATATATTGGTGGTAATCTTGGTACAATCATTGCTTCCGGTTTATCTGGTTGGCTATGTAAACATGGTTTTGCTGGTGGTTGGCCATCAGTTTTCTATGTTACAGGTATTATTGCAGCGATTATTACCATATTATATTGGTTATTCATTTCGAATAATCCAGAAGAAAATAGTAAAATCAGTCAAAAAGAAATTGATTTTATTCGAAACAATATAAATACGATAAATGCAGATCGTAAAAAATTACCCGTTCCATGGATGCATTTTCTTCGTAGTCCAGCTATTTATGCAGGAATTTTTTCCCAATTTTCAATGATGTGGGCCATAACTGTAATGATGACAAAATTACCCGATTATATGCATAATGTGATGAAAATTTCGATTGAATCAACTGGTTTTTTCGGTTCAGCATTGTATACGGCCGAGAGTTTAAGCCTATTTTTCGGTGGTATCTTGGCTGATACAATCATAAAACGTGGCAAATATTCAAAGAATCAAATTCGTAAAACATTTCAAGCATTAGCTGCATTCGGTTCAAGTATTGGCCTATTTATCGTTCCATCGCTTGGTCCAAATGCCGGAATGTTTTTATTTGTAATGATCACATCAATGTCATTATTAGGTTTACAATCTGGTGGTATCGTACCATTACCGGCTGATTTAACCACAGAATTTACGGCCACAATATTTGGCCTATTTAATACGATTGCCATGACAAATGGATTTATTGGTCCTTATGTTATTGGTGCAATGTTGGATTCTGATCCTAAACGCCCGCATCATCAATGGATGATTGTTTGGTATTTCACTGCTGCCTTACGTATTGCATCCGGTCTTGTTTTCATTTTTATCGGTTCAGCTGAAAATCAAGGCTGGGATATGCTACATTTACAATAATTAATTATACTTGATTTTGATTAATTTAATTTTTAGACAAAAAAAAATCATTATTCAATCCAATTAAATATGTACAAAACAATTACGTTTTTGTGAAAATGTAAGTGTGTTCTTGCGTGCTGTTGGTTTTTTTTTAAAAAAATGAGAGCATAACTCTCTTTAAATTTATTCTTAATTAAAATAAAAAAAAATTATATTTGGGAAAAAACGGGGCAATGTTTACTGTGTCGACATAGACAATCAATACAAGATGATTACTTGAAATTCCTGACATTAATCAACGGAAATTGTTTTAGTTTTAATAGTAATGAACTTACAGTAATTTACACAAATACAAAGCGACTTAATTAATGAAAAAAAATAGGATTATCTATAAATATGACCCGGGAATGGGTCATACAAAAAAATAAAAGGTCCTTTGTTTGTTAATAATAATCACCTTTAACAAAAAAAAATGTCATATTTAAATTTTTTATTGTCGTTGATTCTACTTTTGTGATTATGAAATTTTTTTTATTGAATAGAAAAAAATAAAAATCGCAAAGAATAATAATGAATCTCCTATTTTCAAAATTGTTTGTTTTATTTAATCATTTGTTGTTGGTGGTGTGTGTTTTGGCCAAATACAACAACAAACCAACTGGATTCAGATAAAAATACATAAGGTGAAATTGAATTGGTATTAGTTTATTTATTTTTTTTTTGTTTGAAGTAGTTTATATTTTTTAAATTTTTTTTTCGTAAAATTTTTCCGTACTTATTACAAAAACGTCATCGTCTATAATGAATGATAACGATAATGGTGGACAACAACAGCAATTAGTTGAACGTTTTCGTTCGGCAATTATGGCTTGTTTGGAAAATTTTCACATCGATTTACGACGACCAAATTGTGTTCATTACCAAAATGGTTCGAAACGATTATTATTCAGTGATCTTTATGATATGGTCGTACAAATGACAAGATTACTTTCTATGGATGAAAATTCCAGTGAATATATCTATGAAATCTATGCTGAATGTGCAACAAAAGCGTTCGAAAAATTTGCCGAAAATCTTGAACATGATCTACAATCATCAAATAATAGTGGACGACAGACATTATGGACACTTGGTTCATATCAATCGAATAATAATCAATCAATAATTCAAATGGCTAAAATATTGATTGAATTTTGGTCGAAATTCAAACGAAATGTATTACCATTTTTAATGTTAACATTTCAATACGTTGAACGAATACGACACCAACAACAACAACAACAATGTCGTCGAATGATGCTTGAAGAACTTACACGAACAATTTTTATTGAAATTTTTTTCGAACAATCATCATCGATTGTATCAGAATGTTGGAAACAATTAATCATTGATTATGTATTGGATAAACATCGACAAATTCAACAATATCTTTGGTATCGAAAACCATCACAACGATTACCATTGGAAACGGATTCAATAATTCAATGGCCACTATTTCAACAGAATCGTTGCATAAAAATGCTTCAAGATAAAAATTATATGGTGATCAGAAATCTAATTCAAGTACTATTGGATATTGGTACGAATCAGGCGATTTATTATAAAGTATTTTTGATACCATTTTTAGAAACATTTCTGGACACATTTCTTGTTCGAATGTCCGATCAATTGTTGAATGAATTTGTATCATTGGAATATTTGAATTTTTCAACAAATTTCATACAAATGCAATCTTGGTTTTTTAGCTCCATTTTGTCATTACCTGAAGAATCGTTAAAACAAATCAATTTGTTTACAATTGAATTTCTTATTGTACGATATGCTAGCCGATTAATCAATGGCAATAATGAACAAGATGATAATAATAATGATGGATCATTTAAATCAATGTTAAATCATAAACATTATGATCGTATGACACAATTCTATTCATTAATGATGAATATAACTGCGGACAAATTTTTGGCTTCAAAACAAAATATATTGATTAGCCGATTTGTAGATTTTCTAATCAAATATCACAATGAACGTATCAATTGGTTTGCCAGTCAATATCGATGCATAGGACGAAGTGAAGCGATCGAATTTGTTCAAGCAATACTTCAGGAACATGATCATTGGGATAGTGTATTGAATAAAGTTTTTAAGAGTAATAATAATAATGGTGATGGAAATCGAAATGGTGACCAAAAAGTAATCGATTCGATGAAACCATTTTCAACATTGATTGATAAATATCATTATGAATTAATGAAAATTGATTCAAATGTATCACAAGCATTAGCTTTTTATATGCATGATCTTTTATCTAAAGATTCGATGATAATGTCATTACAACAACAACAACAACAACAACAAACAAAGGCGGTAGAATTTGAAACTCGTATCGAACTATTGAATCGTATCAATTTCATTATTGTTTATATAAAGGATATAAATCAATTTTTTGATTTTGCCAAACATTATTTTGCACAACGTTTGTTAACGAATTTATCACATTTCACCAATGAACAAGAAATGGACATGATGAATGACATGAATCATGTGATCCGTTTGAATTTTATGTCCAATGGTCAATCACGAAGTTTTTTACAGAATCTAAATGATTTTAAAAATATTGCCGATGATTATCTACATTCATTCATAAAAGTCAATATCAGTAATAATAATAATCGACGACGAAGAATGGTAAGAAATTTGCCTGATTCTTCAGCCATAGTAAATGCAGGAACATGGAAATTAACAGAATTTGATCGCTGTTGGATATCATCACGATTATCACGATCATTCGAATCATTGGAATATTTATTTCGACAACAATATGATAATCAAAAATTATTTCTTAATACAAAATATTCAACAGCTGAAGTATCAATGAAAATGTTCAATCATGATGCTGTTGTTGGTGATTCATTGAAACAATCATTAATATTATGGATGTCATTACATCAATTTGCCATCATCGAACAATTCAATCGACAATACCAACGATTATCATATGAAATGATCGACAAAGAAACAGAATTTCAAAAGAAAAATAATCTTCGTATTGCTTTATTATCATTGATTTATTGTGGTCTAATTCGACCAATCATTATTATTGGTCATAATCAACAGCATCAGCAACAACCATCAAACAAGCCAACAACATTAGAATCAATACAATTTGAATTGAATGATGAGAAAAGATTTTTACAATTAATCGAAACGAATCGTTGCTCAAATCGATTAATACGTTATGAATATGTTGATTTCATTAATCATCAACCGCTTGATCCGGAAATGGCAAAAATTTTTCCAACAATTGTACATATATTGACCGATGGTGTTGATTTAGTTTATTCAATGTCATCGACATCGGTTGAAGATTGGAATCTTACAAACATTCTAAATTCGCGTACAAATACAACAGTAACACCATCAGATGATAATAATCGACTATTACATCACCGATCACGATCATTTCGACGACATCAACCACCACCACCACCTAATTCATCCATTGAATCAATAGTATATCGACGACTAATATCATCATCAAGAAGATTATCATCTCAACAGCATTCAACACCATCACAATTACCAGCAGCACGTACATCATCATCAACGACAGCAATTGAAAGTCCAAATCATCTAGATTCAAGCATCAAAATCGATGCAGCCATTGTACGTGTCTTGAAACGTTTGCGTTATCTACCGAATATTTCGGCCATTTATCATGCCGTACGAGTCGAAATGTCAAATGCATCCCGTAAACATTTACCACCGACACCTTCGATTGCTAACATTCAAGAATCAACACGGCCATCAAATCGACCATCGAAAATTAATTATCATCAATCAACGTCATCAACATCATCATCACAGCCAATGCCACCGACACCATCATTACAGAATACCAACATTTCAATGAACGATATACAAACACGATTAATTCAACTGATTGATAAACGTTATGTTCGCCGTAGTAATGATGGTGGTTTTGAATATAATATCGAATGAGATGAGATTATGAATGGAATGTTTGTCGTGTGAATGTTATATTTTAATCAACGAATTTTGAGAAAAAAATTTTAATTAAATTTTGAATTTTGTTTTGAGAAAAAATGCAGTAAAAATATCTTTATTGATCATCACTATCAACATTATTGATGTTGTCATTGTTGTTATTTGGTTTAAAATTGGCACCAAAAATATCTTTCTGATAAACATTGTTAAATTCATTTTGTATAGATTCCAATGTGATCAATGAATCGTTATTGATTTCGACTATCGGCTGCTGTATTGATTGTGCACCGTCATCAATCGATATAAGTGAATCACAGGAATTCTGTTCAACGAATTTAATCGAATCAACATAATAATCATCTTCATCATTGATCCAATTATAAGGAATATGGCGAAACATTAATGATGAATAGACGACATCAGTTTTGGGTCGAAAATTCGATTCGGTTACCAAATGTAAATGTGTTAAATCTCTAGATTTAGCATTACGTAAATTTCGTTTCAAATGTTTTCGTCTTGTTTTTGTTTGTGATCGTCGATTCTGTTGTGATTGCGTAGATTTTGTTGTCGATTTTGTCGAAGTGGTTGTCGAATCATTATTTGAAATTCGATTTTTAGATGATGATGATTTCGGTGATTTCACTATCGATGATTTTCGTCGTGTTAATGTTGATGGTTGTGGTAATTTTATCACCGATCTACCTAATCTTGATTTCGATGTTTTCAAAAAATTTTTAATGAAATTCATTCTACGTTTTTTTAATGTTCGCTTGTTTGGATGTTGTTTATGATCTTCGATGGTATCCAATAATTCGATTGATTCTTGATCCATATCATTTGTTGTTTCGTATTTTTGTTTCGGCATTTGTCTTCGTTTTGTTTATTGTTCTTAAAACTGTTTCTGCTGCTACAAAAAAAAAAATTACACACGTCAACTAAATTTAAAAACTGAGTTACAAATAAAAAAAAATTGTCAACGTTTTTTAAAATGAAAAACACAAAAAAAGTTTTTATTCAATTGTTTCCAATTGAATTTATTAATATAATATTTTATTTAATCAACTTTGTAGAGCCATTTTTTCGAACAATTTCGGATCTATACCTTGAATATCACCCATAAATCGTCGTTGTAATTGACTAAATGATGCATCCAATTCGAAACGACCCGTGTGAAGATAACGAAGATATGCATGTGCAAAATTTATTGGATATTCGGAGAAAATTTCTGTGAATCTTTCAGGTGGCCATTTTCTTGCTAGATCGATGCGAAGTTGATCCACATAGAATGCACGATTATGTATAGAAATTATTTCATTATTCGGATTATTTGGATTCTGAAATCCTTGACATTGTTCCTGTAATTTTTGTAAACTTATTGTTGTTGGTATTGTTGTTAGCATTGGTGTTTCTCCATTGATCCACAATGAATAAGCATCAGGTATTGAACGGCCATATGTTTCCACAAAGCTACATTCAGGAAATTCTAAATTCTGTTCTGATTGTCGACTTAAAAACACTAGAATACGAGTACGATTTTTATGATATTTATCCGTCATTGTGGCAAGAAAACTATAACAATCATTAGTGGCAAATACATCGGTAACACGCATACGTTGATCACTCATGATCGGCAATAATGGTGGATGAGCTTTAGGCAATCGATATGTATTCGGATTCTGTCCATCGAATAAATCAACCTGTAGGTAATAAAGTTGACCATCTTCACTTAGCAACAGTAAACGATTCCGAGTTGCGAAAATTCGAGCAAATTTTAACGGTTCATTCACCGTTTTTTGTTCATTCACATTTATCATTCGCTCAAATGTATCACGTATAATGATAGGAAGATAATCTTTTCCAAAGTCAAGTCGTGGACTAATACGTCCGAATAGAAATATTAATGTTGATGTTAGTAATGCAAATCCATGTTGAAAACAGGCAATATCGATTAATTGTCGATCGTCATCACTATCTTCTACAGTGAATAATGTGGGCATAAATTCTTCGTGTATAAGAAATCCTTCCCATACACGTAATTTTTCAGGATTCGATATAATCGAATGATTAAATAACCATTTCCATAAAAATAATTCATTTGATTTAGTTAATAATAATGTATAACTTTCACCTGTAGAACATCGTTTAATATCGGGCCATTCTTCTTCACCCATCAATGGAAATAATTTTCGAAAACGTTCCACACAATCATTTTCATTTTTTGCCGGTATTGAAGTAAAACTTGGTACAAAAATATTTCTACATCGAAGACAATTTTGATTATCCATTGTAAATAACCATCCATTATCATAGGTTATCCATACAATACGTCGTGATTGATCAAGATGATCCAAATTAATCCATGGTACCATTGGACTACGTTCATATACATATGTCGCAAACCATGCTACATATCGATAGCTGAGATAATTATTTTCTGCCATTAAACTCAATGGTTTTATTGATTGATGATGTTGTTGGCCTTCAGTCATCATTCCAAAATTTCGGATGAATAATTGTTGAATAATAGCTATACGACCATTATCACATATGAATATTTGTTCTAAATTTTCTGTCAAAAATCTTGAATCATAATGACAAATATCATTCAAAATGGGCCATTGAGTATAATCCTCAATTCGATTCAAAAGTGGTTGTATAGGTTGAACTATCGTTGTTGTTGTGGGTTCATGTTTTTCCTGTGGTAAAATACGTTGTCGAATTGGTGCTTTTCGAACGGTTGTTGCTGCCACCATTGGTGAGGTTTTTGCTGATGATAATGTTGGATTGAAATATGTTACCGGATTTTGATTCGGTATTTCAACCTTGACCGGTGTGAACAATGTTGGCGGTATTTCTGTTTGTTGTGTATTTATATCAGATAATTTTTCTATGACTAAATATTTTCCATGTTGTTGTTTTTGTTTCTGTTGTTCAAGATTACTGAATACAGCAGAATGATAAAATAATTGATCAAAACTTTGTATCGAATCAATGAAACGTCGTACCCAAAGGAAGTAATCATAATCGACGTTAAAAATACCATTATTATGTAGATAACGTAAGTATGCATGAATAATATTCGGTGGAAAATTTGCCAAAAATTTTTGCAATGATTCTGAATTCCATTTATTGAGGCATAAAGTAGAATCGATAAAATAAATTCGATTTTTATCGATAATCGGATCGAACCATCATTGGTTGGATCATTAAATCGGTGTTGTTCACGGCAAATAATTAGATTATTGTCAATGGTAGCAAATGTTTCGACAAAATTAGGCGTTTCACCATTCACAAACATTGCATATGCATCGGATATCGATTGAAATAATGTTGTTTTTCGTAGAAAAATTGATTGATGATTGGCCGATTGTGATTCAATAGTAGCCAACCATGTTTGCCATTCATCTTTTTTGTCATTATCATGACCAATGATAACGAAATCATTGTTAGAATAATGAGCATAAATTTGTCGAAAATTTCGATGATCATTTAGGAACGAAATTGAAAATTGATGCTGTGTATTCATCGTTGTTGGAATTTGTTCATATTGTCGATCAAGATTGATAACAAACATTTTATGATTATTCGATAGAAGAATTAATTGATTTTTCGATGCAAACATTCGATCCATATGAAATGATTCATGAAATGTACGAAAAAACATAATTTTTAAATCGATACGTAAAAATTCTGATGGAAATGATAATCGTACTTGATTCGAACAATGACCATATAGAAAGATCAATTGTTTTTCGGTTAAAATGGCGAAACCATCACGAAAGCCAGCAATATCAACGAATCGATCTTCAAGATTACCATTCTGAACAAGAAATTTACTTGATTCAAATAAAAAAAGATTTCTGTAATTATTTGGGCTAAAATTAATCGGCAATGTTGATGATGAATTATTAATTTGTTGATAATGATGAACAAAACTATCGGATTTAGATGATTAGTATTTAATGCAATTAGAAAGCCATTGCCTACGATAAATTTTCGAAAATGATCATTCATCATTTCGATTGGTAATTGTATTTGATGAGATTCAGTAAATATATTCAGACAGAAAATCTTCAGCTTTCGATTCAATATAAATAGAAATGGCGAATCAAATTGTATAGAAATGATTTGATCAAATTGCAAAATTGATTCATTCAATTCGATCCAATGATTCGAACGTAATGATGATGTTGATAATGGATAGGCAAAATTGGCTAACCAAACAATCGCTGTCGGAATAGATGATGATGTTGTCATTGATTTTCGTGGAAACATTATGGCAATTTGCCCTCGATCCATAATAAAAATTCCATTTAAATTTCGCCAATATTGGGATGGACATCGTGAATAAATTTCATAAACTATTGGAAAACAATCAATTTCTTTAATTTGATAATCGGGATTCGATTGAAACCGCATCTGTTGTTGTTGTTGTTGTTGATGTTGTGATGTTTTCAGCGATGGCTGCTGCAGATGATGTTGTGGATTTTGTTGTTGTTGTCGTACTATTATCTGATGCTTGAATATTGGAGATCTAGCTTTTACACCGATTCGTATTAGATTCTCTTTCGTTATTATTTCCGGTTCAATTTGTTGCCATGAAATTGAATTAGGTGGATGTGAATTAAATTTAAGAATCAAATCCATTTCGGATAATGGAAAATTACCCGAAGCTGCTAGTTGGAGTGGTATTGGTGGTGGTTGTTGTGGTTGTGGTTGTATAGATTTGTTAATCAAAAACGATTCGGGCCATTTTCCATCAACATGATTTGGTTGTTTCATTACAACTTTGTCTTTGTCGTAAAAAAAATTACAATCTCAAATTTTACAAATTAATACCTGATGATATATTTATTTTCTCCAGTGTATTTAATTTAATATTTGATATCAATTCAATTTTCAACAATATCAAAATTCAATTTATATATTATTATTATGAAATTAACTATTCACATCATTTTTTTTTCATTTTCAGATTATAAATAAAAAACACACACATACACTAAAGCCATCTGACGATTTAAATATAAAATTCATTTTTTTTTTTGTCACTGTCAATATATATATTGAAAATCAAAACAAAAAAATCCAGAATGTGAAATGAATGAAAAAATGAATCTATATGAACAACTTGAATCGTATAAACAAAATAATCAAATCATATGATTGGATTCTTATTTTATTTTGGGAGGATTTTTTAATTTATTTTTTTGATAATAATAATAATAATCATCATAATCATCATCATCATCATCATTATTATTATCAATCCTTGATTATAGCTCAAAAACAAATCTTAACTTATATATATCCTCTCTAATAATAATTATCGAGCATTAGAAATTTCGTCTTTTTCGGTAATCCTTTGAGATGAAACAATAAATTGATCAATAATCAACCAGTTATCACCACCACCACCACCACCACCATTAATCACCAAAACCAACAAAAAATTTTTTCTATGAAACTCAAAAATATGAATTGGGCGTATAAATAAATATGACTATCATCATAATCATATCCATGTGATGTGAGAATGGAATACCATTTGCTTGCCAATCAAATGAATAATTACAACACGATGAAACCTTGACAAATGATCAACGATCGATGTTTGTATGTGTGATTATAAGATCAACAACAACAAAAACATCAACTACGACGACGACAACAAACCACAGAACGTAATGTATTTTTTTTCTAATAAATATAAAATAGATGTACAATTAAGAAATGGTGAACAAGTTGTTCGGAACAACTACGAAAAAAAACCAGAACGAAAAATCTTTTGATTTCATCGATTAAATTTGATACGAATTCGATGATACTCTAACACACACACACACACAATATGTTTGTAATCCCAACAAAAAAAAATCCCCATCATAAAAATGGATACAAATATCATAATGATGATGATGATGATTGATTGATTGAATTGAATTAGATTTGATTCGATTCAAAACTATTATCATTATGATCATCGGATATACCACCACACAAAAATATACACAATAAATGTGTGGAAGAAGCAGGGCCAATAACAAGTGTATGTTATTTTTCTAATAATTGTGAAGAAAAGAAAAATTGTTTCTATCCAATTTGCTTTGTGTGTGTGTGTGTGTATGTGTGTTTGATGTTTATGTGGCATGGCATCCATTAAATGATATATTGTTTTTTTTCTCGTTGCCATTCCTGATGTGTGATATGATTTTATAATAAAATTAATATGATGATGATATTGGATAATATAATATAATGAACAGGTACATTTATACTCTTGTTTTCATCATCATTATAGTGACAATCATTTTATTGTTGTTTTTACAGCAACAACAAAAACAACAACAACAACAACAACAATCATTTGATCTTCATCAGAAAGTAAAAAAAATAAATATTAATTTTAATCAATCATTGGTGACAGACGATTACGACAACGACGAAGACAAAGACAGCGAACATCATCACCATAAATTAATGATCCAAATGGATCCATTTAAACGTGCTGTTCATCGTCGTTATATTGGTTTAGAAAAAGGTTTGTAGAGAGGTGATCAATTAGATTTTTTTGGATTTTGTTTGTTTCTTTTTTTTTTTTTGAATAATTTGCCTATTTTTATCCGTGATTTTTGTTGTTGTTGTTCTTTCAGAAAATAATTGTGAATGGAAAGGACCATTTCGTTTTATACAAGCTGCCGATACACAATATGGAATGATACATCAATTTCAAACAATTAGCTATAATCAAGCATCATATGATGAATCACGTCCACGTATTGATGAATATAAACGTTCAGCGATTGGTGAATGGCATGAAGAAATGCGTCTATCAACATTGGCAATAGAACAATGGAATCAAATGAAACCTAAACCACGATTTGTTGTCATTTGTGGTGATCTTGTTAATGATTTTCCTGGTGAAGCATTACGACGACGACAATTGAATGATTTTAAAGAAACATTTGCCAAACATCTTGATCAATCAATACCATTAATATTATTGCCAGGTAATCATGATATACTTGATCGACCAACAGTAGATAGTATTGAAAAATATCGGCAAGAATTCGGTGATGATTATTTTGCATTCTGGGTGGATGGTGTTATGTTTCTAGTGATAAATGCACAATACTATAAAGATAATACGATGACCAAAGAGATGGCCGCACATCATGAACGTTGGATTGATTCGAAATTATCCGAAGCAAATGAACATGATTATAAACATATTATTGTTTTTCAACATATACCTTGGTTTATACATGATCCAGATGAACCTGATGATGAGATTGTAAGTGAATTTTTCTGTTTTCTTTGTTTTGAAAAGTTTAATTTTTTTTCTCTTTTTTCAATTTAATCTATGAAATTATTTCAACAATCTCAATATAATAATAATAATTGTAGTTTAATATTGCCATCGATGAACGTAAACGAATGTTGAAAAAATTCAATGATAATGGTATACGTGCCATATTTTGTGGCCATTATCATCGTAATGCTGGTGGACATTTTGAACAAATGGAATTAATAGTCACATCGGCTATGGGTGCACAGATTCCGCCCATAGATCGTAGAGAAATTGCTCGAAAATCTGGTTATCGCATCGTTCATGTTGATGAACATCGGCTTCAACATGAATATGTTGAAATCGAGCCCACGATATCATCGACAACGGCGACAACATGAAAAATAATCTTAAAGAAAAGAAAACAACAACAAAGAAGAAAATCTAATAGAAATAAATAAATAAAAATTGAAAATCTTTTCATATACTATCCGTTTCATCATTCAAATATAATCACATATTTGCCATTAATTTTCGAACAGATCAATTACAATCATTCATCGAAAACGAGATCAACAATGAAAGAGAGATAGTTTTTTTTTAGTTTGGCACAATCAAATAAACATGTACAATTTCACCATCATCACCAGTTAAATTATATTTGAAGAAAACTATGAAGCAATCGAAAATCGATAAATCAATCATTCAAAATCAAAAAAAAAAAAAATTTAAGAGAAAACAAAATTTCCCGTGAACTTATCTCTTTCATTATTGAGCTGTGTAGGAGAACGATGTTCATGTCCAAAAAATATTTTTGTTTATCATTGAATTTCTTAAAGATTTTTGTTTTTTTTTATATCATCTTCAATCAATTCTAATCGTACACCAGCCAACCAAAACCATTATCAATTTCACAAAATGAATAATTTGTCGATGAAATTTTTGCTTCAAATTTTTCACTTGATTAATGTTTTTTTTTATTTCACTAATGACACATAAAAAATGCAAACAAACGAAAAAAAAATAAACAGAAAAGGAAATTGGCACAACCCAAAAAAAAAACCATAAAATGTTTTTTCATTTGCTCTAACCACAAAATTTCCCGTCATATATTTCATGTTTGTCCATTCAATATTATTGATTTAAATGTCCACACAGAATTTTGATATTTAGACAATTATTGTTTTTAAAATTAATTTATTAATTATTGTTGATTATTATTCTTATTTGTGCATGTGAACAAATTTTTTTTTTTTTTTTTTGACAACAAAAAACAATAATTTCATTTCAAATTCAAACATTTATTTACATCGGACAGTTATATCGATTGTATCGATTGAATTTTTTTGAAAAACGGTTCATTTGTTTTTTTACACACTCAATTATCATTTGTATTCTTTATTTTTTATTTTAATTTTTTTTTTTTTTTGATGAATTTTCAACCGAATTTTCTTTCTGTTATCATTCTTGATTAAAATGTGAATGTTTTTTTTTTTTTGCTTTCAAATGATTTGTTTCACCGAATCTTCTTTTCTTTTTTTTCATTCTTTTCGATAATGAATTCATCATCGCTTTGTTTGTTGTGATGATGTTTATGTATGTTTATGTTGATCATTGATGAATGAATGAATGAATAGATGAATTGAATCGAAATAAGAAAAACCAAAGACATTAATCTAATCATTTCATAAATCTGATTTGTTTTCTCATTGTAATCGAATAATATAGCCTCGAGATGGATGAGTTTTAAAATTAGTTAACTAATCGAAATTGAATGAATTTTTCGTGATAATCAGAAAAAAAATGAAAACAAAACAATTGTAATTCAGATATATTTATATAATACAACCATGATCATGATGATCAAATAATGATCCTTCAGCAAAATGAAGGATTGAACGAAAAAAAAAAATATAAAATTGGCCAATTGACCAATTTTCGAATTTGAAAAAGGAAAATATCGAATCGGATCTGTAAACTAAATATTTACACCACCATCACCACCAAAATGATCATCGAAAGAATTGACGTAATTTTTTTGAATAAACAGTAAACAAAAAAAATCTTGACAGGAAACCAAATTCGAGGTCAACAATTTTTTTGACATTCGTAACCAAAAACAGCAAATTATTTCCGAAATGGCTACGATGGTGGTCTTTTAACACAATCACAAGCGAATTATTCAAGGGCTATTCAAAAGTTCCATCATCATCATCATCATCATCATTCGAATTCTATCGACCTAATTATTATTTGTAAGTAGAAGAAAAAAAAATTCCAATTCATATTTTTATTCATCGATAACGGTTACAGATTACATAACAACAAAAGAAAAAAGGTCAGACAAATATTGTTTTTTGTTTTATTTTGTTTCAAAATGTGTATGTGTGTGTGTGTGTTTGTATTTACATTTAACACTTCATTGATAAAGTTTTCATTTTATACAGATGATTGAATTGGAAAATGAATTCCTCATCCATACATTTTCATTCACTAAACGCATCGATGGAGAAAGAAAAATTGTTTTTTTTTGCCTTCTAATTTACTCCCTGTGTGTATACATAGATATAACTGTTAATCAAGTTAGCATGGATTTTTTTTCTATCTAATGTTCATCATTTTTAATGATAAAAAAACAAAATAAATTCAAATTGCTAATATCTGTGTGTGTGTGTGTGTTGAATAAGTGGGGGTACCGATCGGTACCAACCAACCAACTAAACGAATCTTTGGCGGCTAGTTGTTATTCGTTTGTGAAAAAATATTTTATCCGTTCGAAGCCGAGCAATGATACCAACCAACGACAAACGATAGCTTGATGATTTTTTTTTGATCAAATCAAACAGTAAACACCGTTAATAAAATAGCAAAAAAAAACCTATCAAATACGACATAAAATCCAATAACCCATCGACTGACCCATCACCTATCATCATCATCATCACTATCAACGACAACAACAACAACAACACCCTGAGCATTGGCGAGAAATGGGAGGGGGAGACATATATCCGAAAGGCACAAGCAAGTATACACATAGTAAGTAAGTATTTTACATATTGACCTTAACCTTGATTCGAATTGCTGAAAGATGTTGTTAGATTCGATTACCGGAATATTTGTCTGTCTGTGTGTGTTAATATATACGTGTGTGTGTGTGTGTGTGTGTGTGTGTGTGTATAAATGGTACGAATATTATTTATTTGACCCACATTTTTTTTTAACTTTGTTTGTTGTCGATTTGATTTTCAGTCATATATCAATGAGGGAATTTTAATCCTCTTTTTTCCTGTATTTTTATATTTATAAATATATCCGTAAAAAAGAGAAAAAGGATCAAGATTTTTGTTGGTTTTGGAAAAAATTTAAAATATTTTTTTCAAACACACACACACATTCACATAGTGATATCAAGATTTATAAATTTTCTGTATAGGAAATGAATGATTATTTTTTTGCTGTAAAAAATATATTTTAAACAAAAAAATTTTGTTTTATTTCAAAAATGTATACACATACGTTGATTTTACATTTCATTTGTGGATGGCTCGCATGAAACATTCGATCAGCAGCGGCGTGATGAGAATGAATCCGAAATTATTCCACTGGATTTGGAAAAAAGGAATCAACTGAAACATTGGAAATGAAATCTATTGAAAATGATTCAGAAGCTATTCAAGATATTGGCCAGACATGGAATAATATAGAAAACGAAAATGAGCAAAATAATAATGATGGTACATCATCATCAATGATAAATAATGATCAACAGCAATCGATTAATATAGTGGATAATAACGATGTGAAAGCCGATAATGAAATGAACGATGATCAACAACAATTTTTACAAACATTGAATATGACCGAATGGTCGAAATTGAATAAAAATCAACGACAAAAATTGAAAAAAAACATCGAAATAAAATCAAACGTAAAGAACGTGATGAAATTGAACGAAGACGTGAAGAGGAACGCCGAAAACAACGAAAACAAATGGAAGCTGAATGTAATCGTAAACAGGAACTAGAAAAGGCTGTTGAAGAAGCGATGAAACAAGAAGATGAAGATGATGATAGAATGGATATTGATGAAGAGGATGCACCTGAAGAAGAAAAAGAACGTAAACGTATGCATGTTTGCGATTTTGCTTTGTTATCAAAAACTGGCAATTCAACATCATCCAAATCATCATCGAATAATGGAGTAGAAGTGGCTTTGGATTCAAGCGATCATGAATCCGGAATTGGTTTGTATTCATCAACAATGGCAGCCAAATATGAACAAACATCTTCATCAAAGATCTTCATCTGGATCAAAAAATCTACATGAAGATCTTTCCGATATGGTCGCTGAACATGCATCGAAACAAAAACGTAGAAAACATGATCATCAAAAACAACAGGAAACGTCAAAATCATCAAAAAAATATCAATTTAAATTCTAAAATTGTTCACATCATCATGATCATATTGTAAAATTATCAATTTTTTTCTATTACAATAAAATGAATTAATGATTAGATATAAAATACATATTACCTTAGTCCATCAGACCATTTCCCACGTGGAATATGAGAATATTAAGCCGGGTCCATTGGATCTAGTTGATTTCGATTTTCGACCATCTTTTCATTTCTCATCGACAAATTTTTCTCTCTGTTATATAAAACAATAAATTTTCTACGAAGAAATTGCAATTCGTGTTTATTGTAAGGGTTAATAATCATTAATTTAACAATAATGTTGTTAACCACAACAAACAAATAAAAAAATAAATGAAAAAAAAATCAATTAAAAGAAAGAAAATCTCAATTTGTTTTGTGACTTGTTTATATGTAATGTGTCCTCGTTTTTTTCACATCGATAACATTAATCAGTCGAAATGGGTTTCATCGTCATGAGAAAAGGAGTATTGATGGAATGGGATAGAAAAAAACAAATCTAAACTTTTTCTGCAACCCCCTCCCCCACACCACACACTACCAAAAGGACAAAGTTGACATGTTCATCAAGTAAATAAATTTAAGTGGGTAATATTTTTTTTTTCTTTAAATTTTTTTTAAACTAATCTTTAGTTATATTATAGGGATCTATCTAAATCGTTCACCTGAATATATATGGAATGGAATGTTCAACAATTATTACCCCTCTAATACTGCCGTCTCATCATTGTCGAGAAAAAGAAAAAAAGATAAAAACGAAGATGATGCTGTTATTCATTTAAAATCATGGATTTGATTGCATGAAAAAAGGATGGATCATTAACCGACGATATTAATTACAAATCTATCCATCCATCCATCCTAACTACCTACCTTCAATCATCATCATCATCATCAAGATCTTGATGATATTTGATGACATTTTTTTCTGCTTTTCTCAACATCGTCACCGTTACTACAACAATCATCATCATATCATTACTTCCTTCTTCATCAATTTACCATTCGAAATAATATTTGTTTCGTTCAAAGGAAATTTTGTTTTTCTTGTCTTTTTTGTTGCAAGTTTTATCGGTCAAAAACCAACCAACAAGCGCGCATACACAAATCAGTCAAAGGTTAAATTTGAAAAAATATCCATGCGAAGGCAAGTTTGATTAACAAGATCATATCGGAGTAGTATATAGTATAAAATTTAAATGGCGAAAAAAAACTATCCTATCCGTGACCATCACCACTACAAATATTGGACAAAATAACTGAATTCTTCCTTAATTCCAATCATCATTGTGGTTGACCTTTTTTTTCTCTGAAAAATGTGATAACTACTAAAAGTATAACAACAACAACAACAATTTCATTATTTCAACGAAACAAAAACTTTCGAAATATAATAACAATACATTATTAAATCGAATTCAATCAAATGAAAATGAAAAAAAATGATGAAAAGTGAAAAATGTAAACAAACCACCACCACCATCACCCACCAAACCATAATGATGATTATTGTCAAATTGTCGAATCAACAATAAATGACAATGTCATT